TTAATGCTTTCAAATCGACATGTGGGGTAGCTCATGCGGCCATTTCTCCAGCGATAGTAATTAAGCCGCGTGTAAAAAAATAGAGGAATGAAAAAGAGAGGGGGGAAATTATACAAGAGAGAAAAAGCAAAGTGAAAAAGGTCAAGATCGGCCCTCTGCCGCCCTCACCCGCACACCAAGAAGACTGCCGTCGGGATTAAGTACCATGTACTAGCCGGCCGCTCTGCGGTTGATCGGGAGTTTCTGTATATAGAAGAAGGTGCGTGCGCTTGTTGGCGAGGGTGAGGATGAGGTTCCTCCTCCTCCTCCTCCTCCTCCTCCTCCTCCTCTTCCTCCTCCTCCTCCATCCTTCTCTTGCCTCCGTCTGTCCTCCTCCACCCCACAGCTCCATCATCTCCTCCTCCTCCTCCTCCTCCTCCTCCTCCTCCTCCTCCTCTTCCTCCTCATTCCTCCTCTGGGCACCTCCCCCGGGGCGCGGATCCACCGGATCTGTCCAGATCTGTCCAGAAACGGTGCCGGAGGCCGCTCTGGGCTCCTCTGGGCACCTCCCCCGGGGCGCGGATCCACCGGATCTGTCCGGATCTGTCCGGAAACGGTGCCGGAGGCCGCTCTGGGCTCCTCTGGGCACCTCCCCCGGGGCCGGTTTTGAGGATGTCTCAAGCGAGGGCGCCGGTTTGGGATTCGTCGGCGGATCCACCGGATCCAGCGGATCTGTCCGGAAACGGTGCCGGAGGCCGCTCTGGGCTCCATGGGCACCTCCCCCGGGGCCGTTTTGGGATTCGTCGGCGGATCCACCGGATCCAGCGGATCTGTCCGGAAACGGTGCCGGAGGCCGCTCTGGGCTCCTCTGGGCACCTCCCCCGGGGCCCGTTTTGTGAGGATGTCTCAGGCGAGGGCGCCGGTTTGGGATTCGTCACCGGATCCAGCGGATCCAGCGGATCCGTCCGGAAACGGTGCCGGAGGCCGCTCTGGGCTCCTCTGGGCATCCCCCCCGGGGCCCGTTTTGTGAGGATGTCTCAGGCGAGGGCGCCGGTTTGGGATTCGTCACCGGATCCAGCGGATCCAGCGGATCCGTCCGGAAACGGTGCCGGAGGCCGCTCTGGGCTCCTCTGGGCATCCCCCCCGGGGCCCGTTTTGTGAGGATGTCTCAGGCGAGGGCGCCGGTTTGGGATTCGTCACCGGATCCAGCGGATCCAGCGGATCCGTCCGTCCGGAAACGGTGCCGGAGGCCGCTCTGGGCTCCTCTGGGCACCTCCCCCGGGGCCCGTTTTGTGAGGATGTCTCAGGCGAGGGCGCCGGTTTGGGATTCGTCACCGGATCCAGCGGATCCAGCGGATCCGTCCGGAAACGGTGCCGGAGGCCGCTCTGGGCTCCTCTGGGCATCCCCCCCGGGGCCCGTTTTGTGAGGATGTCTCAGGCGAGGGCGCCGGTTTGGGATTCGTCACCGGATCCAGCGGATCCAGCGGATCCAGCGGATCCGTCCGGAAACGGTGCCGGAGGCCGCTCTGGGCTCGTGCTCTTCGCGCCGGGGGTGAGGATGACGTGAGTTCCACAGAAACTCCCTCAAATTATTATTATTATTATTATTATTATTATTATTATTATTATGATTATTATTATTATTATTACTATTATTATTATTATTATTATTCTCCCCCCTGGAGTAGATTTTGGCAGTTTTTGGCGCCTGCTTCAAGCAGGTGGAGTGCCCCCCATAGGACGCACTGCAGCAAACAGTCGCATGAAGCAGAGGTCTGGAGCCAGACCCCCCCCCATTCCGCCCAATGCTGAAAAGCCGAATAAGAAAACGCTCACGTGGGTTTCATGGTTGCCAGAACGGGCTACGCACATGTTCCTTTACGCCCGCTATCGCGCGGTGCCTCGCATCGGTCTGAGGGCGCGCATGCAGGCAGCGCGCGCGCCGAGCTGAGCTCCTCACCAGACGAGGTCGTGCACGCAGCGGTGGTTGTGGGAACGGCAGCACCGCCAGCTGCATTGCCATCCTGGGGCTGTTTCCTGACGGGGCGTAAATATGGCGCCCCGTGGCCAAACAGGGTGAGAGGCTGGCAGTTCTCCTATGTGGCGCCATGATCAGAGGCGGGTCCTCCGCCCCCTCTGTCCCAGCGACCCCGTCGCATTTCGGGCGGCGGCGTCGGCGGGGGCGGGGAGCGCCCAATGCTCTGAGGTCAGCTTCCTGGATGTCGTGGAGGCGCATGTGCAGGCGGGGAGCGCGAAGTTGTCGCCACGACCGCCCGTCGGTCGAAGTCGAAAAGCGGCATCAACACAATTTGTCGAGTGTCCGCGCAGAAGTCCTTGATTGGCATTGGGCCTTGGGCCTCTTCCGCCCCTCCTGGGCCTCCAGGGGGTTCCTTCGGAGGCCGCGGAGGACCTCCCTGGGACCCCATCGGATTTCCAGCCCGCTAGTATTCCCTCCTCGTGTTCCTCCTCGTCGTCGTCGTCGTCATGATCGTCGTCGTCGTCGTCGTCGTCGTCGTCGTCGTCGTCTTTGTCTTTGTCGTCATCGTCGTCGTCCTCTTCACCCTCCCCTCCTGCATCCTTCGACGGCCCCCTCTTCCCTCCACGTGTTCCTCCTCCCCCTCCCGCCTTCTCCACCCCAGGGAGGTGCAAAGCGGATGGCGGGGGGGGGTATGGACGACGAAAGGTGTATGGGAGGGATTTCGCTTGGGGGTGGAGGGGGTGCGGGAAGAAGAGCGCAGTGGAAGCATGGGGGGGGGGAAGGAGAAGGGGAAACATGGAGGAGGAGGAGGAGGAGGAGGAGGATTGTTTGCAGCGCAACGCCCGAAGACCGAGGCGATGCCGACTGCCCGCAGCCGCGGCCAGGAATCCTGCAAGGAACAACAAAAAGACAAAGGGCATCAATAAGAACTCCCCCAGGCACGCAGAACGGCGCTGAACCACTGGAGTTGGTCCAGGAGGCAGGCGGTACTGCGCGCGCGAGGCAGGCTCCAGACGGAGGAGGAGGAGGAGGAGGAGGAGGAGGAGGAGGAGGCGGAGGACCAGTGTAAACCCAAGACCCATCAACGATACTGCAATCAACCCTCCCTCCAAGTTCCCACTTCACAGCCCGGTCGGAAGGCAACCGTTCGAGAATACAGAATTGTGCCAGAACACCGTTCTTGAGAAATCAGCGCCGCAAATCACGATTTCTGTTGCGTCTTGACGATCTGAACCGCGTCAGAACACCATTCTTGGGACACCAACATCGCGAATCAACGCGGCTCTTGCTCCCTGACATTCCGGCATCGTGCCGCAACACTCTTTTAGTGGACGTTAGCCTTGATGATGTTTGACACCCTTACAGAATCTTACGACGCAGCGCTAAGGTGAGATACATATTTTGAAAAGGAACCGTCCTAAAGCCTCAGAGCTCTTGCATCAGGTGTAGACGAGTGCGCGCGGCGCTAAAGCGAAAGCTAACACGGACCGCCATCCATCGGTGAAGTTCTTGCAAAATTTTAGTAGAACGCATGTGCGCGGAGCCGAAGGGCCACGTTTTGAAAACGGCCCGCCATCTGTCCGTCAAGCTCTTCGGTGGCTTTTAAGACGCAGGCCTGGCATCGCTCGGACGTGTGCGTTTTTTCTTTGGCGAGGACCATCGAGGAGCATCCTCGACCACTTGCCGAGCAAACCACGCACGAAGCCGAACAAAACACGGGGAATAGACGTCCGAGCGATGGCGAGCATGTGCGCGGCGCGGAGGCGAGGGCCACACTCTGAGAACGGGCCGCCCTCCATCCACGCAGCGTCCTGCGACCTCGAAGCGTCGGGAGCCTCGGCGGTGGCCTGGCGAAACGCCTGGCCCGCCCTTTCGATTGGCCCCGGGGTGCGAGAGATAGCCATGGGGAGAAGGGATGGGGGAGCAGGAGGAGGAGGAGGAGGAGGAGGAGGAGGAGGAGGAGGAGGAGGAGGAGGAGGAGGAGGAGGAGGAGGAGGAGGGGAGCAGGAGGAGGAGCAGGAGGGGAGGAGGGGGAGCAGGAGGAGGAGGAGGAGGGGGAGGGGGAGCAG